AGTGGAACAGTGCTCACCCTCCGACACCCACCTCGGTAGCTGTGCGAGAGCCGGGCGCTGGGCCACAGCGTCACCCATCTGCTTGGACCTTCCTCTTTCTCGCTCACCCGTAATTTACAGAGGGGCTCGGTGGCCTGTTAAGGGCCGTTTCTCAGAGAGAGACGATCAATCTTCTCCCGTGTGATTCATCGTTCTTAGGTCTCATCGAGCGTGACTCCTAGTGACCTGCCGTCCCATTCTGTCCTGCTCAAGCCCATCGTGGGCACTGTCCGTCCAGCTCCTTGAGGGTCTTCCTGTCTTCCCCCGACCCTCCACCTTTCCCAGCAGGTCTCTCTTCAAGGTCTGGTCCCTGTTGAAAATGTGCCCAAGGTGAGGTGAAGATTCCGGGTCCCTGACTTTACGGAGCCCCAGCAGAGCGGCCCTGGAAGTGCCCTTTGACTTCTCTGACTCCAGCCCTTTGTGCACGTTGAGCTGCTTTTTAAAATCTTCAGTTCAGCCTTTACGTCAGCATTTCTTCCCTTTGGTCTCTTTGCATTCTGGTGCAATTTTCAGAGTTTCTTCTAACATTCGTCTTCGTCTCTGAAGCATGGAGGAAGGGCTAGGAAGCTCGGAGAAACCACTAGAAGCACTTCCACTAGGAAAACAGGAAACCCCAAATCCTTGGAGGGACTGGAGGGTTCTGTGTCACACCAAGGACTTAAAGGAGTCGGGGTGGTGACACCACCACATCCTGACCTCCTCTTTGGCCTGTGAGGAAGTAGTTGGGTCTTGGAGAGTGACAGTTGATCACAGTGAACTGACAGGTCATGACTACAACTGCAGCTGGTCCAGGGGCGTTTCACATCAGGAACAAGTGATCGCCTCTCCTGCTGCCTGGTAAGCACCCGTGGATCAGGCCAATGTCCTTTTCACCATCCTGATTCAAAAGGACCATCAGAAGCCGTTTGCTGGCCAGACCACCTTTTCAGCACCCTAGCTCAGGGTAGGGCGCTGGCGTCACGCTGGCCCATTAAGCATTGTGCTGATAAGACCTAGTGAGGGGGTAGTGTCACTGACCCTAGTTTTGCTGGTAAGAACTTTGAATGTGCCATTGTTGTAGTTATGTGCCCTCAAGTCGCTTATGACTCATAATGACCCTAAAAGCCCTGAATCCTGCTCTATTTTGCTCCAACTTCACTGTCTCTGACACACCTACCCCCGTTATAACAGCCACAGAGTCAATCCATCTCATCCGGGGCTCCCCGTCTTGCACTGTCCCTCGATCCTTCCGAGCATGATGTTCTCCTCCTTGAAGCATGCCCAAAGTATGTCCGACAGAGCTTCCAGTTCCTCACCTCCAAGGAGCAACTTAGTTTCACCCTCTCCAGGACAGACCTGTTTGTTCTCTTAGCAATCCACAGTATATTCAATACTCTTCTCCAGAACCACAGCTCAAAGCCATCAGTTCTTCTATTATCCTTAGTCATTGTCCAGCTCTGTGATAGATAAGTAATTGTTAAGACCATGGCCTGGATCAAGCACACCTTAAGTCTCTAGACTGACATATTGCTCTTCAGTGCTCTGGAGAGGTCTCTGACAGCAGATTTTCCCAATGCAATTCATCTTTTGATTTCCTGGCTTCTGGTGTCAAGAGTTGTTGTTAGGTGCCATCAAGTCAACCACGGCGCACAGAGATCAGACCCTGACCCTGTCCTGTACCGTCCTCCACATCTCTGCTATGTCCAGCCCATTGTTGGTGTCACGGTGCCAGTACCTCCTGTTCCGAGGGGCTCCCTCTCTTCCGCTGGCCCTCCACCTTTTCCAGCTTGATGTCATTTCCCGAGGGCTGGTCCCTGCTGACAGCATGTCCCAAGTATGTGAGATGAAAAATGTTGCCAGCAATCAAGATGTTTGGACTCTGGGAACAAACTAGAGAGTATTTGTGTCCCCCTTTTTTTTAGTGTGTGCTAGAGAATGAGAAACGAAATTTAAAAAAATCCAGACACCTTCCACCTCAGTGAAATTTCTGGGGATCCCATAGTGTGAGACATGTCAAGATACTGGACTCAGCTCGTACCACAAAGAAAAAGTGGGCCCAGGCCTGGTGGGGTCTCTTTGGGGTTTGGAGGTGACACATCCATCCATTAGTGGAACTTCCAGGGTGAGTGCTCTGGAACGACGTTCTGCTTGTAAAGTTGGGGTGTCAGCGAAGGACAGGAGGCCGTTAATGAGATGGACTTGACTACATAAGAGTTCAAGCCCAGGATTCCGAACATCGGTGGGGCTCTGCTCCGTGGTAAGTGGGGCTCTCTCTCCGCGGTAGGTGGGGCTCTGCTCCGTGGTAGGTGGGGCTCTCTCTGCTCTGCGGCAGAAGGGTCATGTGAGCAAGAGTCTGTTCCTTGATACTAACTAGCCACAACCTGCTTATCAAAGCTACTGGGTTTTGGGGGCGGTTGGTCTGTTTGTTTTTAAAGCTACTGGTTTTAAGCGAGGTCCAGGACAAGAGAGGCTGCAGCTCCGCACTTGTGCCCCCGGCTCCTGCTGGTTTGTGGTTACTAATGTGGAAGGAGCAGGATGAGAAGCTGCCCTGCGGTCTTAGCAGGCACCCGGGTGACAGACACCTTACATTCATTTGTTTCCATTCCAAAGAAAGGTGACCCAACAGAGTGTGGGAATTGTTGGACAATATCATTGATATCACATACAAGCCAGATTCTGCTGAAAATTATGCAAAAACGTTTAGAACAATGTGTCAACAGAAAACTGCCAGATGTGCAGGCTGGATTTAGAAGAGGTCGTGGTACTAGGCATATTATAGCTAATGTTAGATGGATCTTGGCAGAAAGCAGAGAATACCAGAAGAATGTCTATCTGTGCTTCATTGACTATGCAAAGGCTTTTGACTGTGTGGATCATAACAAGTTGTGGCTGACTCTGAGAAGAATGGGAATCCCAGAACATTTGATTGTGCTAATGCAAAACTTATACTTGGACCAAGAGGCAGTTGTCAGAACAGAGCAAGGGAACACTGCATGGTTCAAAATCAAGAAGGAGGTTCGTCAGGGATGTATTCTGTCTCCATACCTTTTCAATCTGTATGCAGAACAGATCATCTGAAACGCTGGGCTATACGAAGAGGAATGTGGCATCAGGATTGGCGGAAGAATCAACAACAACCTGTATTATGCAGATGACACAACCCTGCTCCCTGAAACTGAGGAGGACCTGAAGCACTTGCTGCAGAAGATCAAGGACTACAGCCTCCTATATAGACTGAAGCTCAACATCAAGAAAACAAAAGATTCTAACCACTGGGCCAATTGGAAGCATCAGTATGGATGGTGAAGAGATTGAGATAGTCAACAGTTTTAGTTTACTTGGCTCCATGGTCAACACTCTTGGTAACAGCAGCCAGGAAATCAAGAGATGAATTGCATTGGGAAAGTTGGCTGTGAGGGACCTCTCAAGAGTACTGGAGAGCAATGATGTCAGACTAGAGACTAAGGTGCGCCTGATCCAGGCTATAGTCTTTGTAATTACGTGCTATGCATCAGAGGGTTGGACAATGAATAGGGATGATAGAGAATTGATGCCTTTGAGCTGTGGTGCTGGAGAAGAGTGTTGAATATACCATGGACTGCTAGAAGAACAAACAGGTTTGTCCTGGAGAGAGTGAAGCCAGAATGCTCCTTGGAGTCATGGATTCCGAAGCTTTGTCTGACATATTTTGGGCATGTTGGAAGGAGGGACTGGTCCTTGGAGAGGGACATCATGTTTGGGAGAGTGGAGGGACAGCAAAGGAGGGGAAGACCTTTGATGAGATGGATTGATTCTGTGAGTGGAGAGTGGCTAAGTGCGTTTGAGATGGCTAGGTTGGCACAGGATAGAAGAGCGTATAGAGCTCTTGTACATAGGGTTGCTATGAGTCGCCAGCCACTCGATGGCACATAACAACAACAACAACAATGGCTGGAAGGGTGGTGGTTCAAGTCCACCCATGATGCTTGAACCGGTCACAGCAGATGATTTTAACTGTGAACTTGTGAATGAGGAGGAATGCTGTCTCCGCAGAGCCCAGGCCAGAGCTCCGCTGATGGCCCAGACTCAGCTGTCACCTGCATGCTGGCAGCAAGAGTGGACAGTGGCCTGGAGGGGTGACCGATGCCAGGGCTGGGCCCTGGTCCTGCCCCAGGTGGGGTGGCACAGACATCAGTCAGAGGGGGCGCTCCTGCCGCCTCCTCCAGGGTCAGCAGAAACCTGGGGTGATCAAGGCCAGTGGTCAGGGCCAAGGCCTGCAGGGCGCCACCCTGGCAGTGGCGTGGGAGCTCCAGGGTGAGAGACTTTCAGGGTCGTCGGGCTCTAGGGAGGGCAGGCTCTGGGGGCGAGTCCTGGGTCCGGTCCTCGCGGAGAAGTTTTGAGGGTGGTCAGTTCTGGAGGTGGAGTTCGGGGGATGAGGGTAGGCGGTTTGGGGGCCAGCGGTCTGGGAGGCAGCTTCGGACATCCCGGCCGGGACGAGTAGAAAGCCGCCTTTGTCCTGGAGTGCCCGCGTCCCCACTAAGCCTTCTGAAAACCCCCCGGTGGACCTCGAGAGTGACCCTCTCGGAAGGTACTGTTGCCGGGGTGACGCGGTGTCGGGGACGGGGTGGCAGACTCCGAGCGGGCTGGGGGGGGCGGGGAGGGCGGGCCTCAGGGCCACTCAGGCCCCGGTCACTACTTCGTCCCTTCACCAGCAGGGCCAGCTGGGCCCCAAGGCGCATGCGCCCGCGCGCCCCGCCTTCGGCGCTCCAGCTGCCGTTGCCAGGTTACCGCACTCCACGGCCTGGAGCCCGCCTGCCTCGCTCGCTGGTTGGCTGCAGCTTCTGCCCGTCCGATCCCCTGCCGCCGTCGATTGGGCACGGCCAGTTCGCACGCGTGCGCTCCAGGCCCCGCCCCCGCCCGCGGCACCGAGAGTCCAGCGCGGGCTGCGGAGGGTGGCGGTGTGTGCACGGTCGGAGCCCGCTGTCGGGGCTGCAGAGCGGGTGATGATCCTCGAGGAGAGGCCGGACAGTGCGGGCAGCGGCGAGGACAGCGCCCGGCTGCAGGCGGCGGGCCGCGGCCATCAGGTGGGGGTGCGAGGCGAGGCGGGAGATCTCGGGGTGTGAGGGTGCAGGGCGGCTCATCAGGATGAGTGTCTGGCGCCACTGGGGGTTCGAATCGAAAGATGGGGGCCGGGGAGCTCGCGGGGTGTCGTGGTGCCGGCGAAGGGCACGAGGACTACAGAGGGAGGTCGCGGGATGAGGGGGTGCGGCGGGACGCGGAGCAGGGGTGTCGGGGGGGCTGGGGTCTGGGATGCATTTGAGTTTTGTAAGTGCAGGGGTATCACGGGGAGCAGAGCACATGGGGTGCAGGGCGGGAGTAGGGGTCCCGGGTCCCGGGGTGTTGCGGGAAGCGGAGCGCAGCGGGGCGGGGTGCCGCGCGACCTCGGTGGGAGCGAGAGTCCGAGAGTCCGGCGGCCCCGAGGCCCTGGAGCTCCTGGCCCCCGCACCGCACACCGCACACCGGAAGCCACCTGTTGCCGCGGGGCGGGGCCGGGGGAGGAGCTGGCCTTGGCCTCGGAGCCGCGCGGGGCCCTTCCTGGTCTGGGGTCCTGCGGAGGCCCCTCTCCTCCCCAGTCTTGCTCGCACCGCTGGCAGGGGGGCTTTACCACCGGAGATGAATGGAGAGTCCAAAGCTTGCGTCCCTTGACAGGTGACAGTGTCCGGTGCTCCCCACGGGGATGCGAGGTCGAGTGAGCATCTCTCACGCCCCCTCCTGCAGGGCACCCCTTCCTGTCCGTCTGCAGGTGCTGCGCTGTGGGCCTGTGGCCATGGCCATGGCCTGTTTTATTTCCGGCCCCATGTCCCTTATCTCCCAGCTTTGACGGCTGCACCCGTCACCGGTCACTTCACTGGACAGGCCACTGATGCCTCCCGGGATCAGAGACACTGGGAGGACCGCTCTGCGGGCCGTTTAGCCTTTCATAGCTGCTGGTCACCATGTCATCTTCTCAGAACTTCGTCCCTCTGCTGTCCCTCACCTGGGATGCTAACATGCTGGTTGAAAGCCTACTACCTTGGTTGTGCTGAGGCACGGACTGTTGTCAGGCTCCCTGCCCCCACTTGGGCTCTGTTCTGGGCGGTGCCTTGCCATGGCACAGTGCCACTCCCTCTCGAGTGTCAGGCCGCACATTGTCCCCCCTCCCCAGCTGATTGGACTTCTGTGTGTCCAGCCCGTCAGCTGGACAGGTGGAGGTTGCTGGCGGGCTGTGGACCAGGTGAGGTGACCTGATCCCGCACACACAGCACGGCCCTGGGACAGGAGGCCCATGAGCCCAGCCGTGTTTGGAGGCCGTGAACAGGCGGATCCTGGCCCAGCTGCCAGGCCTCTTTGCTGAGGACCAGGGTCAGGGAACCCCGACTTCCTGGCACATGGATGAGGAAGGTCAGGGAGCCACTGCTGCCGTTCCTGGGCAAACCTGAAAACTGGGCTGCCCCAAGCTGCACCCCCAGCAACACTCCCACCCCTCAGAGCCCAGCTAGGTGGGGGGGGGGGGGGGGGGAGGTGTTCCGATCTGGCTGCTGTGTCGGAAGTGGGCTAGGCTGTGGCAGTTTCCTCCTGTAGCTGGTGTGCCCGGACCTTGGTCACAGGCAGTGCAGTCACTCCCCCTTGTCTCTTCTCTACACTGCTGCCAAGGCCCTGCCCCATGCCGCACCCTGGGGACACTCAGGCCTCTGCCTTCTCTGTCCACCATGAGGCCCCTGTGTGCTGGCGATAGCAAGAAGACAGCTGTGACCTGAGCACTCGGTTTCACTGCCAGCAGCTAGGGCACCACCTTGCCCGGTCCACTGTCCCTGCAGCCTGTCTAGCTAGCTCAGAGCAAAACCCACTCTGAGACCGCAGGCCTCTCCCCTCCCCGGAGTGGGCAGCACACTGCAGTCCGAGTGCATGAGGCACCTCATCCCAGAGCAAGGACCTACTGCTGGCAAGTGAGCCTCCACCTCTAAGGTGCACCCCTGCTTCAGTGTCCCCACCCCACAAAGATGCACCTTCTGCTCCGTGGCATGGGCCCCTTTGCGCTGGAGCAAGCACTCTCACCTCTCGAAGATGTCCCCCAGGCACTACCACGGCCCTGAAGACACCAACCCTGCTGGGCTGATGTCTCCACCCCCCCAAAAGACATCCTCCCCACTTTAAGGCCGGCACCCACACGCCCCTGTAAATAGCCCCCTCTGCTCTGGGACAGGTGCCCCCAACTCAGACTCCGACTTTGGAAGAGGGAGCAGTGGCTTTACCGTGGCCCCTCTGTCCCTGCCCCTGGTCTTCAAGCCTTGTGGAGGGCTATCCACCCGTGTTCACTGGGCAGCCGGGGGGCCCACTGCAGAAAAGGGGCTCAGGCCCTGCTGTCAGGGAGACAGTGACAGGCAGAGTGGGACAGCATGGCCTTCTCTCCTCATCCCACCCTGGGAGAGCCTTGTCTCATGCCCTTTTGAGCCCCTACGTGTCTCAGGTGGGAGGCTCAGGTTAGAGTCAGCTCAGCAAGTGAGAGCCTAGCTCCAGGTGTCCACGTGGGTGGGCAGGACTATGGCCAGGCACCTGTTGAGGAGGGCTGGCAGAAGTGCCCTGTGGCAGTGGGCTTGTCTGGAGACTCAGACAGAACATTGGGCCCAGGGCAGAGCCTCGGGGATCTGTGCACTGAGCCATGGGGAGGAGCAATGGCTGGAGTAGACGTCAGCCCACGTGGTCAGCGGCTCTCATGACCCTCCCTTTATGGCATGTCAGAGCTAGGCCCTCGAGTGAGCCAGCAGGTGCCCATCAGCAGCCACCACCACGGCCTATAAAGGCTCAGGCATCTGGGCCACTATAACAGAAACCGTAAGTGGAGAGCTTCAGCAAACAAATTCATCTCACAATTTGAGAACCCAGAAGTCAAGTTCGAGAAAGGCCCTTTCCCGTCTGCCGGTTTTGGAGGAGTCCAGTTCAGGGCGCCGGCTATAGGGGAAAGCCCTTTCCTGTCTGCCTACTCTCAAGGGGTCCAGTTCAGGGCCCTGGCTACCTGTTCTGGAGGGGTCCCGTTCAGGGCGCCGGCTGTAGGGAAGGCCCTTTCCCGTCTGCCCGCTCAGGAGTCTGCCGCTTCTGCGTGACTTCATGGCAGCTTGTCATTTCTCTTCCCACCTCTGCGTCGCTCGCTGGCTTGTTTAATCTCATATCTCAAGACGCTGTGCAGTAGCGCTGCCTCATCAGCACAGGCAGCACGTCCCCAGGTGGGACAGCAGCTGACGTGAGGTCCCTCACCTCTCCATGGCCCCCAGGGCTGTGAGCAGCTGCAGTCCCTGCGTAGCCATCCCCAGAGCCGCAGAGCCTGTGTGCACCAACTGATCAACAAGGAGCTGCGCATCCGCACTGGGGCCGAGAACCTGTACAGGTGGGTGCCGCTAGGGTCCGCACAGGTGGGCGCCCTGAGAACCTGTACAGGTGGGTGCGGCGAGGGCCCACACGGGTGGGCGCCCCGAGAGCCTG